CACGCATGGTCGCTCTCTTTCCTTCTCTCTCACACACATCCTCCCCCCAAAGCCTCGCGGCGTATTTGCTATGATTATGCTGCGCACCCCTGCCCCCCTCCAACGAGCCACAAGGTTGCCCTGCGGCCAACCATCATTCCTCCACCGATCCTTAATCCAAAGGAACATGTCGTCAGACTCCGTTTGATTGCGAGCTATGATGAGCAAGCGTTCCATTGCTTACACGACAAGCATTGATGATCGTCCTCACTCTCCCTTCTCCCCCCCCGGGTCCTCCATGTACGCCACCAGTTCCATTCCTTCCACGGTTTTCTCCTTAACCATCAGGGGGTTCGTCGGGTGTTTTCGCATTTCACCATTGCGAGGAGAGGATTATCAGCTTAAAAACCTACTAGATGTGAACAGAAAAGTAGAGGAAATAGGTGTGAAAAGAGAAGTAGGGGAAAAGGTACGGCAAGAAGGATGCGCACACGCAAGTGTCGAGCGCGGTACAGACGTCCAGGACATCACATAAGCCAAACCCAAACAGAAACAGAAGAAAATAGACGCTACCGGGAAAAGAAAAAAAACAGGGACCTGAACAGGGACCATGGGGGACAAGGAGAAGAAAGGAGACCGGGAAATACGCAAAGGAAAAAAATGAGGACCGCAGTGTCATGAAGAAGAGGAGGACGACGACGAGAAGGGGGACGAGGAGGACACTAGGGAGGAGCATAATAAACAGGAGGATAGTAAAGGGGAGGATAATATAGGGGAGGACAATGAAGGAGACTATAACAGCGAGGAAGCTGATGAAGAGAAGCCGATGAGGATGAAGAACGGAACGGCAAAACACAGAAGAATATCAAGAGAGCAGGTGGAGAAGGAGGAGGAGGAGGAGGAGGAGGAGAGGAAGAGGAAGAGGAAGAGGAAGAGGAGAGGAGAGGAAGAGGAAGCGAGGAGGAGAGGAAGAGGAGGGCAGGGGGGGAGGAGGAGAGGAAGAAGAGGAGGGGGAGAGGAAAAGAGGAGAGGAATCGAGGAGAACAGAAGAGAAGAGGGGAAGAGGAGAAGAGGAGAGAAGAGGAGAGAAGAGGAGAGAAGAGGAGGAGGGGATGGTGATGAAGAGAAGTAGCGAACGGAGGAGAGAAGGTCCACAGCTTAGGAGGAGCCGTGAGTGCGTCGAAGAAGGATCAGCGAGGTGGAGAAGGGGACCCATGTTATCGTTATTATAAATTACTCATTTTCATGATGCTAGTATCTTGTTGTTTCAATTATATTATTATATGATGATGACGATGGTCATGATGAGGAGGAGGAGGAACGAAGAAGGAGATGACCAAGGAAAAGAAGGGACAAGGGCGGAAGTCGGTGATCGCAGCACAGCTGTCTTTCAGAAAAGCGATCACTCTAGATCGCCAAAGACTGAGTTCTTTTTTCTCGTGTTCTCTTTTTTTACCGCAGGTAAAAAGTGTGGTGAAAAGTTAACATTCTCACGAGCCTCTCTCTCTCTCTTTCTCTCTCTCTCTCTCTCTCTCTCTCTCTCTCACCTTGGGCAGAAGCCGCTCCTGTGGGCTCAACTAACGATACTCCCGAGTGAGATCCAAAAGAATTGTCGACAATTAGAACAACAGTGGGCGAGAGGAGGGGTGATAAAGAAAGCGGAGCTCACAATCTCAGGATGGGGCCGCAGATGGTCAGAACGGAAAATTCCGGCGGCGCCGAGCCACTGGGCGGCGCCGAGCCACTGGGCGGCGGCGAACCACTGGTACAGCGATCGCGTCCGAAAGCCAGGTTGGCACACCGACGAACTGCTGAAATGCAGACCTCGGTTCGAGTCCAGATAGAGTAATTTCTGAATTATCTGGGCCCGCTTACTTGGAACTCGCCGCCCACGCGAGTAACGAAAAGGAAAGCCGAAAACTGTATATATCGGCCCACGCGAGTAACGAAAAGAAAAGCAAAAACCTATATACACCACCCGACCATGCCCCACACGTGGAGGTTCGGTTTTGGTTTGGAGTCGTGCGACAGCCCAGACGCAAAAGGTAAATGAGGCAGCTCTGCGTCTGACCTCATTTACGGCCGAACGTGCTTGTATCTGACCAAGATCTACCGTGAGTACGCCCTGAGGCAGTTAGATCACTTCCTCGTTTTGTTCCTCCTGTGGCTCCTGTACCTTTTTTTGCCTTTTTTCGTGTACAAAAACAAGGGGAGCATTTCATTACAAAATTCAAAATGGGGAGCATTTTATTACAAAATTCAAAATGAGGCTGGTCCTTCGGGACATGGAACGATACAAAGAAGATTAGCATGGCTAAAATTGGAACGATACAAAGAAGATTAGCATGGCCCCTGCGCAAGGATGACAGGCATAAATCAAGAAATGGTCCAAATTATAATTTAAATAAAATAAAATAAAATAAAAAAGGCCGCGAATCCCTCAACAAACAACCTGGGGCCAAGTCCCACATACACCGCTGAGCCAGCTCAACGCTGAACTAGAACAACGCATGTGACACCATGCGGATTTGGAGATGCATCGGGAGCTGCGCATCTAGGGGTTGTTCTTTTAGTGTAAAAAATGAAAAAACTTTTGTTTTTTGGGGGGGGTAACTTCAGCGCAGTCACGAAAACAGTTTGTAATTGCACTTCAGGCAATCCCGCGATTACAACACACCCCTACGCGACCCCACCGGACCCAAAACGTAGGTCATATACATTCAGCATTACCGGCCCTTTTGCCTCAAGTGCAATTACAAACTCAAACCTTGACTGCGCCATAGTTTTCTCTTTTTTTTTGGTTCAAGAAAGGTGCTGAAAAATCCCTCCATCGGAATACAATGCCCCCTACCCTGTCCATCTTCTATTTAACTAGATATGGGCAACGGTGCTTTCCATGATTCTCATGTTACATCCGTGAAATTCTCATTAAAAAAAAATTATGGACGTCATCATTGTCTGACCTCTGCACCTCTGTGAAATCCACAGGAATCCAACAACCCACGTTGACACATGTGATCCCTTTTGCTCTTGGTTGACGGACAGTGGGGTATATATACGTTAATATTACGATTTATCCATCCTCATTTGGCACATCCGTCCATCCCTGTTTTGAGAAACGAAGAGTGTTGTGCTTCCAAGAATGAGGATACGAAATGGGGCTACATACATCACAATTAGATACAAGGACACTGCAAATTTAATGACAGTTCATTTTCTTTGTGAACGCTGGAAAGAACCAAGTGACGGATTCGGGCTAAAGATGTTTGAGTTGGATGTATGTAGCTCAAATTCATCACTTTATTGTCTCCAACAATTCACAAACAAAATGAGATATCATTAGATTGCAGGGTTCTTGTGTTAATTTTATTCCCCCCCCCCTTAGCACTTATTGTCCCCTTCCGCAACCCACTGTGTATGGTGTGGACCCCTGTCCCCACACTATATGTATATAATGGCCTAACAAAATGTCATGCATAACCCTCCAAAGCAGATATTCCTTATGAAGGAATTTGATGCACGATACACTTGTATCGATCCTCTCCATTTCACCTACTGGGTTTCGACAAAATAACTCTTATGGTAATGAAACTCAATCAGCGATGGAGTTGTTTGATAACGCCTCCGAGGTTTGAAATGTAACAACGTTATGATGTCAGCAATATCCACCCACCGAAACGACCTAGTATTAAAAAGAAACAATTGCCCTCTACGTTCAGATGTATTAAGCCGACAATGGTGACCCAATTCGAATAATGTTTGAACATACCAAAGTTGCGGGTTTCATTATCCAAGGTGTCGCTCCACTACAAACCACATGTTTGTGCCTAAGATAATTTAGGCAGTGTATCTTCTCATGTTTTTCCTCAATGCTCATATTTGTTTTCTGCAAAGTACAAGCAGTATAGCTAGACCCAAAGACCCACACACATACAACCTTCACACCGACCACGTGCATTCAAAAAATTGTGAGCGATACCAGGTACTATAATTTATCATCTGCCTTAATGAAGATATCAAATTTGTTAGCGTTGCGAATAAAAAAAAAAACACAATGATTCCGATACGTTTTTTTTTTTTTTTTTTTCATTCCAACCTCACAAACAATATAACATTAAAAAAATCAACTAAAATGGTTTAATTTTTTTTTTCAATCACCTAAACTCTGTCACACCGTTGAACTAAATCAACACAACGGTGTATGTGGGACTTGGCCCCCGGAATAAACAAAGTACTAAGACCATTACCCAACTATGATGCATGCTTTTGGTTTCTGCAATGGCAGAATGACCAAAACCAGACCGTTGTCGTAACTTTTTTCAATCCTGGTAACAAAATGGTTCAACAAGGCTTAAAAACCACACAAACCTAAAACAAAAAAACAACAAGTTAATGATGATTTACGTAGCACCGTATTCTCGTTCACGGGCGAACGCGAACAAGCACCCCAAACCCTCTGAACGCGAACATAAAAAATATTTAAAAAATAAAACAAAATAGTTTTTAGAAAAATCTAAAAAATAAAATACATGTTATGTAAAATAACAATACAAGCAACTTTTGCTTTGGAGTCATGTTCAAATTCGTAGCCAATCATGAGTTAGAAATCAAAAATCGAAAAACTATTTTTTTTTTGTTTTTTTTTTACGAAAGAAAAATTATATTCGTCCGAACATGTTCGCGCGAACACGTTCGCCCGAACGTGAAGGGGCGCGAATACGTTCCTCGTGCTGTGCAAATTATGATAATAAATGAAAATCGCACAACCAAAACGCTGAAAGAAACAAGCTATCTATAATAAAAAATTGTTCACAAGGCTTGAAAATCAACAAAATCCAAAAAACAATCAACTACCTCTATATGATGTGAAACATACATTTAGTGTTACTCATGAGTTCCTATTCAACATCGTAGCACTAACCTATACCACTACACTTCCCTGTGAGATATCACCTAATGCGACGGTATGAAACTCGTCCAAGATGTTTGAGTGAACACTCTCTTTGGTGACCTTCCCTCTGTCGGTCTCCTGGGGCAAAAAAACGAGTGCCTAAGTATGTACCCGTTCATTCCCTAAATAACCAATAAACAAATGCTAATGTATTATTTACCCCAGTGGTGACAAAGGAAGGAACCAAGCGACAATTTTTATAGAACCACCTTCGACCACTCACATTGTTATCCGAAGTCCCCACCTCTCGTCTCCAATCAGTCTAGATTTTTTTCTTTTTTACTTTGTTTTATGGACCTTCTGATTTACTTATTGGTTCAATATCTTGCGTTGAACACAGTCTTTGCGGTGTCGTGACATCGTAGAAAAAATAACATATCTTGCTACTTGGGCACTATAGCCCTAGCCCTTATCCAGTTTGTGATTTCGCAGAACACCACGTAATAGGACATACGTTTTCGCCCAAGGGAGGGTTAAACCCGAAAAACTATCCCACTGCTTGTTCCACCAATCCCATATTATGTTTGAGGCAAGATAGTCTCACCAAAGGTGGATTGTGGACTCAAAGGCCCACTCGCATCTAGCGCACTTTGGATCAATCTGACTCTCACCAAATGCGAAATCTGGCGTGGCCGTTTGATTCGTGACACCTCAAAACCTCCACTTCGCCTTTAAGATCGCACAAAATGGTTAAGGAATGACCGAGATCTGTCTCTTTCCCTCTAGTTTTTTCCCTTTCTTTCTCCCTCGACTCTTTTGCGCGCGCATTTTCTCATCTATCTCTCTACCTACTAATCTAACACTAAAATGAACGTCTCTATCGAACTCACCCGATCGAAATACCCCCGATTAGCATCTCCCCCCGCTTGATTTCATTAGGAATCAAGTAAGTTATGAGTTCCTTCTTCCGCCTTCGTCATTTTCCCCATCACCAGTTTTCACGTACCTGGACTAGACCCTGGCCAGATCCGTGCATCTTCCTTTAGTCGTTATGTTTTTCCTCTCATCGTTTTTGTCGTTGTCTTATTACTTGCTCCTCTTCTGTTAACCTTGCTTTCACTTCCATTTTCTTCCTTGCTCTAGTCGGCGCCTTCTTTCCTTCCTTTCTCTTCTTCTCTCCCCCATTCGTTTTCTTCCTCGTTTCCCCCGACATCCTTCTTCGCTCCGACTATTTTTAGCGCAGCTCGGTGCAACGCAGCCTGTCATCCACTTTGAGAGAAAACTTCGGAGGGGACCAACCAACGACCGATTCGATAATCTTTCGTCCTTATTCCCAAGTCCGACGAACGATCTGTTGTGTGTGCAGCTGTGAGCCATTGCAAGGGGAACCAACTATTGGCTGGTTCCACTAGTCTGTCACCCCCTATACCACAGTTCGACGAATGACCTGTACGTGAGTCTCACCGTGGGCCTGGTTCGACTGGTCTCCTGGCCCTAAGCCACGTCCGACGAACGACCTGTGCGCCAGCCTGCTATAAGCCACTACCTGAGCTCCCCCTGGTTGTGCCCTACCTAGTCATAGTTCAGCGTTTCTCGGGTCCCGTAAGGCATGCTCGCACTCAAACCTTTAACAACAAATCGCGTCAGTGGATGGGGCACACTTGGTGGGTCCAGTCTCTCACGTTTCCCTGTCCTAGTGAGCTAACCACCCGTCGGCTTACCTGCACGTTGATCCTCTTGGCCCGTGTTCCAAATAGGTAAGATAGAGGAATTTTGG